ACCTCCCCGCCGCTCCCTCCCACCTCCCCGCGCTGCCCCCACCTCCCTCGCTCTGTGCTTCTGGTGCTGCTGCCCCTGCACCTGCTCCAGGCCCGGGACTGTCAGCAGCTGTCCTGGAAGAGGGGGTGGGAGCTCGGGAGGGCAGGTAGGCAGGGTGCAGTTGCCTCCTGGTCTGAGGGCTGAGCCCTGCAGGCTTGCCGCCTGTCATGGGTTGAAGCCCAGCTTGGTGATTACCTGGGGTGTGGTCTCTGACCCAGTGTGCTAAGCTGCACCAGGGGGTGGCACAGATCACCCCCCCGCGCCAAGTGCCCCCTCCCAGTGTCCCCAGGTCCTGGGGCTGGCTTTGTACAGTGGCTACAGTTCTCTGCCCACTTGTCTCATGGGGAGCCAGAGGGGGCTGTGGGTCACCTGGGTCCCCTGGGCAGCGGAGGGGCCCCACCAGCAGAGCCCTGGGTCAGGCCGGATTAGCTGGAGCCTCATCTGCCTGGTGGGCATCTTTGGAGCACTCGGGGCGTCTGGGGTACAGGGGCCCGGCCCCTCAATCTGTGTCCCCTCCCAGAGCCCCTGCCCTGGCAGATGGGGGCACTCGAGGCTCCCTGTCTGATGGCTGAGAGCCCAAGGGTGTGACCTGAGGAGGGGGCTTTGGGTCTGGGAGGCAAGCACACCCCCAGACTGGAGCCAGCTGTGGGGGGCGGCTGCAGGGGAGAAGAACGGTGTGACCAGCTGGGAGCTGGTTTGGAGGAGCTGCAGGCTTTGGTGCCGGAGGGAATGGCCCAGGGCTGCCTAGAGGATGGGGGCAGTGACCACAGGAGGATCAGCCGCTCAGGAGGGGTGGAGTCACACCCGGCCCAGGGCACTGAGAGTGTGCGCCTCGGGCCTCAGCCAGGCCTGTCCCTGGACCCGCCTCCTGGCTCTGGGCTGGTCCTGTTGCTCCCCTGGGGTGTCTGGCTCTCCCTCCCTCCAGAACCCCCAAGGCAAGGGGTGCCGGCAGCCCCCATCTTCCTGAGGACACCTGGGACTCCTTCCCCTTTCCCGTTCCAGAGGCGAGAAGCTCCCCAGTAGGACCGCCTCTGCGAGGGGCTGACCAGTGCCTCTTGGGCGGAGGCTCTTAACTGGGTTCTGGCACTTGGCTTTGAGTCAATCACAGTGGGCCTGGCCGCTGGGGCCTGGTCCTCGTGGTCAGCCCAGACGGCATATCGCTGTCTCTTGAGAGCCTGCTGCTACCTCCCTCCCTGACCTCGGACTTCAGCCAGTGTCCCAGGCTGCCGGCCTCTGGTGCCTCCTGTCCCTGGCTCTGTGGCCTGGGCCCCTGCCCCTCCCCTCTGTGCTGGGGAGGGCAAGGTGACTGCCCCTGTCTCAGCACAGCCCAGGAGCGGTGGGGTTCATGGCATGAGGATGGGGGCTTGCAAACGCAGCACTGCTACAGGCTGCTGGGGACACAGGGACCTGTGCTGCACCTGTGGTGCTCGGGAGGGGGCTCCGGGGGGCTGGGGGCTCGTGGGCTCAGCGGCAGGAGGACCCTGAGGCTCTGGGGACAAGGTTCCCGTCCTTGCTGCTGTCAGCTGCTGTGACTGGGGTGGGGTCCTGCCCCTCAGGCCTTGGGTCACTGTATGCCAGGCAGGCCTTCCCTGGGAGTCTGGGATACCCAGCGGCCCCTGGCCCACGAGAGGAGGGTGTTATCACCCTCTCTGTCTCCCCTGCTTGCCCCAGAGCTGCCCACAGGGCAGACGGCTCCTTCTGGGCTCTGCTGCCCTCAGCTGCCCTTGTGTGGGCCTTAGCTGGTGTGGCCTTGACTGGCCCTTGTGTCTGGTTTGCTGGAAGCAGGCACGTCCACCCTGGGTCCGGTCCGCTTCCTCCAGGCCCGGTCGGTCATGAGGAGGGCAGCGGGCCCAGGCCAGCCCAGCCCCTGGGGGCAGCATTCTGTGATGAACAGCAGAGTCTGGGGGCTGCAGCTACCCGTCCGGGTTCTGGGGCTGGGTGAGGGAGGCAGGGACGGCTACCCCCAGGCTTGGGGGACCCGCACCCTTCAGCCAGTGCTGGGAGTCACAGCCGAAAGGGGCCCAGTGCGGCCTGGGTCCTCCCTGGGTCAGACAGGCCTGGCCAGACAGCCCCACCCCAACTCAGCTCCGGGTCTCCAGCCCGCGGGGAGCGGGGGCGAGGGGAGCAGGATACTGCTGCTCTGTCTCAACTCCTGGCCCACAGGGTCTTGGGGAGCCCACTCAGAGCTCCCCGTGAGTACCGCAGAGGTGGGGTGAGAGCAGAGGCTTCTCCTGGGGCTTGGGCGGCGATGGTGCAGGGCATCAGTGTGGAGAGGATGGTGGGGAGGCCGCCCCCAATGGGCTCCCATGAGGACCGTCTCCCCAGGCCTCACAGATGTGCTCTTTGGGTCCTCAGGGAGGCCACCCATCTGTCCGGCCTGTCGTTACTCAGCCGGGGTGTGGGGGCTGGTGGCCTGGGGCCTTGGACGACACTGCCACCTGCCCAGTCCCCTCCTGGTCCCCAGCTGGGAGTTCACTTGGCCTAAATCCTCTGGCCAGCTGGGCTGGATCCAGGCTTGGATTAATGCAGGGGATTGGGCAAAGGAGGGCTGAGGCACTGTGGCTCCCCCGCCTCCAGACCCTGGGATGCTGCTTCTGCTGGGACCCCCCTGTGGCCCGGCTGCGTGGGCGGGTGGACTGTCCTGGGGGCCGTTTGGGACAGCAGGTGATAGTTGGGTCAATGCCAGAGGGGCCTGGGAGCAGCCCTTCGGGGGCCTCAGAGGGCAGTGAAGGGGAGGAAGAAGCAGAGGAGAGAAGGGGACTGCCCTCCACTGGCTGATCTGCTGCTGAGGTGGGGTGGGGGGTGCTGGCCCTCTCTGGCCTCCGGGAGCACACCCTTGGCCATCATCGAGGCATGTCCGTCCTCTGGCCGTTTATCCCTAGCCGGACCAAGGGAACAGTGGCCTGTCTGGCAGAGGCCTTCCTCTGGGTCAGCGGGAGCGTGGCTGTGTCCCCGCGGTGGCAGCTTGGCCCACTAGGTAAGGGGGCCGGCCTGCCCGGTCATCTGGGACAGGGACTGGCCTGATCCTCCCTGGCCAGAGCCCCACCCAGCCCCAGGGTCACGGGACCAGGTGAGTGGGGGCTGCTCCTGGGGTGTGCAGGTCCCAGGGGCTTTCACCCCACCCCCACTCAAACCTGTAACCTCCTGACCCCTCGGGTCTCCCTCTGGGGTCATGGGGTCCCGGCAGCATCTCCTGGCCTGCGTCTCTGACCCTGACTCGGGCCTGGAGGCAGAACCCCAGGCGGGCAGTGGGGAAGGAGGGGGTGAAGGAGTCGAGGGGAAGGGGGGTGCAGGTGGGGCCCCGGTGGATGTGCTGGGGGCTGCCAGGCAACTCCAGAGCTTTCTCTGAGGGGGGGTTTCTGGTTCTTTGGGAGCAGTGGCACCTTCAGCGCAGGTGGGGTGAGGCCAGCACATGATGGCCCTTCGCAGCAGGCAGACTGCCCTTGGCTGCTGTGAGACTCCGGCAGGTGACGGGAGGGTGGCATGTCTGTCTCGGGGGGCGGGGGCGGCCCACAGAAGGCCCGTTCGGGTCTGCCCTCCTGCCCCGCTGGGCCTCTGTTCCAGCTGGCAGATGGGGCCTGGTCCAGGCACCACCTTCCGGAACCTTGTTCCAGGCCTCTGGGGCCTGGCTCTGCCCTGTCTCCTGCCTCACCCCTCCCTCCTGCTGCCTGCGTCCCATGGTGCTGGGTCCTTACCTCCCGAAGTCTCCCGTGGAGCCCAGCCTCCCTGGGTGCCACTCCCTGCTCTGTCCCCACCCTCCGCAGTGTCTGCGGTTCAAGGTCACGGATTGGCTTCCTCCGAGAAGTCCTCACTGACTGATCCCCTGAGGCTGGCGCTGCCCATGGGCGGCAAGCGCTGCCTGAGGGTCCCTCACTGGGGACCTCGTGGGTTTTATTACTCTGTTCATTACGTGGGTCCTGCGCTTTCTGCAGCAGTTGTGAAGGGCCTGATGGGGCCAGGATGGAAATGTCCCTGGGCCCAGTCCGCTGACCCTGGCCTGGACTTCCAGACCCCGCAGCCTCTCCAGCCCCGGGTGCTGCTGTCCTGGTGGGCTCCCCCCTCCACTGGGACCTGGGAGCAAGCTGCAGGGAGGCTGGATGCACAGAAGGGTTGGGGGGAAAGGCAGGTGGGCGCGTGAAGGGGAAGGGTTTGGGCTTGGAGCTCATTTGAGGTGCCGCACCTTCCCAGACCCACGCCTTTGCACGGGGCCATGGCCTCCGGGGTGGATGTGTGTGGGGTCCCCCTGTGGCACATGGGAGGAGGGCGGCCATCCTGAGGACGCCACAGGAAGCGGGTGCGGGCTCCCAGGAGCAGCCTATGGCTGCCGCCCGCCTGCTGCCCCCCTGGAGCCCACGCTGTACCTGGCACGGAGGCCTCGTTAGGCAGTGGCTCTGAGAGCCGGCTCTGCACCCCGTCCATGTGTCCTCCCGTGTGTCATAGCCTTTGGGCAGGTCATGCTGGTGGAGGGCGGGTGGGACGGCCTCTGGAAGCAGGCAGAGCCAGGGAGGAGCAGGGGCCCGGCTGGCACCTCTCCTGGCCCTCAGGCCCCAGACTGTCGGGAGGGCGGCTGGAGCCCAACTGGGCAGAGTCAGCCTGACCCTCTGTGTGGACTCGTCCTCAAGCAGGGTCCCAGATTGACGTGTGACCTGAGCCGGCACCTGGGGGTCCGAGTTTGGTTCCCTGGTAGGGGGTGGGTGGATGGGTGGTCTCTGCACCCCCCTGAGCATGCAGGGTGTGGGCATGAGGCTGCGGTGAGTCAGGGGAGCGGCTGCAGTGCTCACGGGTGCCCCGTCTGTCTGTCCCTGTGCCGGTCTGTCCCTGTGCTGGGGTCCTCGGGCCCGCAGTGGAGCGGTGCATGAGTGCCATGCAGGCGGGGACGCAGATGGTGAAGCTCCGGGGCGGCTCCAAGGGCCTGGTCCGCTTCTATTTCCTGGACGAGCATCGCTCCTGCATCCGCTGGCGGCCCTCCCGCAAGAACGAGAAGGCCAAGAGTGAGTGGGGAGCGTCGGGGGGCGGGGTGGAGGCGGGGGGGCCAGGCCAGCACCAGGGGGCAGGGGTCGCTCCCAGAGCAGCCACTGGGCAGCTGAAGGGGAGTCTCCAGCTGGCTCCGGGCCTGGCACTTGGGCTCAGCTGGCTTCGGAGCTCCAGGGTGACCCTGGACAAAGGGGTGGGGGAGGGGGAGGGCCCCGGCCCTGCTGCCCACCTAGCAGGGCCCTCTGGTGCTTGGTGGAGACTGAGCAGCTCCCGCGCCCTGTGATGGGCCGAGAGGCCGAAGGACCTTCATCATGCTGGGGAGGTGAGACCACTCTTGAACAGAGAGAGGGTCCCCGCTGGGCACACTGCAGGGGGGACCTCGGGGCCCAGTGCTGGCCCAGGCCGCCTGGGGTGCGAGCAGCTGGCAGGGCTGTGGAGGCAGCAGGGCTGCCTAGAGGGGCATGGCAGGGGTGTCCTGAGCTGTGAGGATTTGTGCAAGGACCAGGCGGTGGGGCCTGCGGGTCAAGAGGAGACACAGAACAGTCCTAATAGGTGGGAGAAGGGACCCTACCTCCCTTCCTCTGGCTTTGGCGACTGAAGAGACCCAGGCGTGCCCGGGCAGGGCCTCAGCCCAGTGGTTGCTAGGGGTACCGCCGCCACAGGCCCAGGAGAGAGCCACACCCTGGAGCACCCTGGGAGGGCGTCTTGGAGGAGGGGCCTGGGGCTGCCCTGGGGCCCCAGGGAGGTGGAGCTGCCGTGTGCTGTGCAGGCAGGAAGGAGGAGCCCCTGTGCCCCGGCCAGTGCCCCTGCTCTGTGCCGGGCACTGCTCCTGGCTTGGACATCCTGAGGGAACTTGGCCGACGTGAAGCTGGTCTCTGAGTGTGAGGTGGGCGACACCACCTAACGTGGGATAACTTCACATCGTGTTGAGTGATGAGGAAAACAGGATGGCGCATAGAGGGGACTGGTGGGTGGAGGTCATGGAGGCTTCTCTGGGGGTGGGGTGATAGGGCAGAAACCAGCAGGAGGGACTAGGGGAAACAGAGCTGGGAATTTAGAGCTGATTGGCCCAGGGGTCCCTGAGAGGGCGGAACACGGTGTAGGGGCAGCTGTTTCCTGATTGTCAGCTCCCCCTAATCTGGAGCCCAGAACCCCTGCCTCCCTGCCATGAACACACGGTGCACCTAGGGAGCTGGAGAAGGCAGCTCCAGGACGGGGGCTTTGCATGGCTGGGGGAGCAGGGGAGCCGGGAGCTCCCGGAGAGGGGGCATTGAGGGGCAGAGGACAGATGGGGAGGCCACCCCTCACTGCACGAGTAGGGAAGCCCCACTGTCGTTGCACTGGACACGGTAATGCCCAGAATGGTACCACGCTTGCCCCGGTGAGGCGTGGGAGACGGGCAGGGGGTGTGGGTGGGTGTCCGGGCTGTGCTGAGCCCGGGCTGCCTGCTCCCAGGGAGGATGCTGGCCACGCGTGCCCACACATCTGCGAGGGGCCCTGCCACGCGCACGAGCACAGACCCTAGAAGCACCCTTTTGAGCTCATCTACTCGTGGAAATTCAGCTTCTGAACGGAGGCTCTGCGCGCCCCAGGCGCTTTGGCCGCTAATGAAAATCTTGATGGAGCCTGAGCTGGTGCACACAAAGCTGGACTCCGCTGCACCCTGGCCCCCCACCCACTGGTGCCAGAGTTCATTACTGAGGTGGCCACTGGATCTCGGCTGCACCGGCCCGCGATTGTCTGCTCGGAATGGATAGACACGCTGGCCGAGCTTGACGGATGGAATTAGCTTGTCTGGGCTGCCTCACTCCGCAGGCCTGGCTGGATGCAGAAGCGGGACCCAGGGGGCTATCGGGGGGAGGCAGCTCCTCTCCGTCTTACATTCCCAAAGGGCGGGAAAGCAGACCTGATGGTCAGGGTGGAGCGGGGAGAGGCGGCTCACCAGCAGGTTTGCATTTCTTCCTCCTCCTGCCTGGTGGGCCCCTTGAACCGCCCCTCCCCAGCACCCCAGCCTCCCACAGGAAGGGAGACCCCGGGGGCACCAGCCTTGCTGCCCATGGGGCAGAGGGCGTTTGTGCCGAGCTGCTGCTGTGACAGCGCGGGGCTGCGGCTGGGGGACACCTGGCCCCGGGGAGGCTGTGACTGTGCCCTGCCCCGCCCGCAGTCTCCATCGACTCCATCCAGGAGGTGAGCGAGGGGCGGCAGTCAGAGATCTTCCAGCGCCACCCCGACGGCAGCTTCGACCCCAACTGCTGCTTCAGCATCTACCATGGCAGCCACCGGGAGTCGCTGGACCTGGTCTCGCCCAGCAGGGACGAGGCGCGCACCTGGGTCACCGGCCTACGCTACCTCATGGCCGGCATCCGGGACGAGGACAGCCTAGCGCGCCGCCAGCGCACCAGGGACCAATATCCTTGGGCGCAGGGCAGGCCCCAGGACGGACACCCCCGTCCAGCGTGGGTGGGGCTCCCGGCCCTGGCTGGCCCACGGATCTGGGGGAGGGGCTCTTTCCTGCCCGGGGAGAGGGGGGTGGCGGCCCTGCTGGACCCACGTTGGCCCCTAACTTGGCCCCAAAGTGGCTGAAGCAGACGTTTGACGAGGCCGACAAGAACGGGGACGGCAGTCTGAGCATCGGCGAGGTCCTACAGCTGCTGCACAAGCTGAATGTGAACCTGCCCCGGCAGAGGGTGAAGCAGATGTTCAAGGTGAGGCTGGTGGGGCTGCCCGGGGCCGAGGCCCAGGGATACTGCGCAAGCGAGGGCACCTGGGGCGCAGCTGTGTGTGTCCAGGAGCAGCTGGCCCGGTCCCAGCTGCAGCAAGGGGCGGGGGAGGCAGCTCGGCCAACCATCCTGGGCCTCAGGGGGCGGGCGGTCGGATGCCCCAGGCTGCCACCTCTTGCAGCTGTGCAGGCACCACTGTAGCGGCTCCCAGGGCCTCCCCAGGCCAGTGGCCATCTGGGCAGGCACGGGGTCAGTGAGGGAAGCCACCCACAGGAGGCTGCACCCCTTTCCCGCCCCTCCTACAGCTGCCCGGCCGTCGTGGGCTGCACCGGCCCTGCCCTGTGGGCCGCAGCTCCAGTTTCCCATCCCCGGAGCCTCTGGCCCCCAGCTACCCTGGTGTGAGCACCTAGGAAGACACATCCGTTAGCTGAGCAGCAGCCCTTACTGTCTGTGATCAGCTTGTCTCGTTCTGGAACCCTTGCTGGAACGGGGGTGGGGGATGCGCGATGCTGTGTCAGCGGATCCCCGTTCATGGGACTCGGCCAGCAGACCCTGCTCTCCGTCCTCGCTTGTCTTGCTGCTGCCTGGAAAGAGTGTTCCGTGAGCATGACCCAGGCCCCACACCCCGACACACACACACGCACGCTCGCTTGCACACACAGCCAACTGCTCCACCGGGCGTGGCCCCTGGAGGCTCCCTCCTGTGCTCTCATGATGGGCAGAAGGTCATGCTCAGCTGCTCTGAGCCTCGGGTCTGTGTGCACACGGTGGACTGTGCGGAGGAGCAGGATGCTCTCAGACTGCTGCAGCAGGACTGGGCTGGGGGCTCGCAGGGCCCCTCCTGGAGGCCCCAGGGAGCAGAGCCTGTCTGGGCAGTGAGGAGCAGGCAGACGGCTCAGGCCCACAGAGCAGCCCACCAGTTCCCTGCCTCCCCTGCCTCCAAGGGCAGCTGTGGGGTCAGCAGCCCCTTCCAGGCCTGTGAAGCTGTGCTGGGCAATAGGCTGGCTTAGGACCCGGGGCTCAGATGAGCCTCGGAGGCAGGATGAGAGATGAGGGCCCCTCACAGAGAGGGTGTGAGTGCTTGCTGCCTCCTGGGGCCTGAAGGTCCACTGTGAAGTCCTGGCTTGAACATGCCCCCTTGGGGTGGGTGTAGCTCAGCGGTAGAGTGCGTACTTAGCACACACAAGGTCCTGGGCTTAATCCCCAGCACCGCCATCTAGAAAAGAGGGGAAAGTAAATAAACCTAGTTACCTCCCTCCTGCCCCCTCCCCAAAAGTGGTGGAAGTGTTAGTGACGGAGTCTCGACTGTGCTGATGGTTTCACCAGTGCAGACGTCTATTGAAACGCATCAAGTTGTACCTCTGAATTATGTGCAGCTTACTCTGCAGGACTCATGCCACAGTAAAGGTATTAGAAAATAAATAGCGTGAGAAAAAAGAAAGAAAGAAAATGCCCCCGGCCGGGAGCCCTGGGAAGCCCCTGCCCCTCCTGTGAGGAGGCTGGACTTCCTTCTCGTGCGCTGTCTAGGCACGGGGGGCTCCCTCAAAGCCCTCTGACCAGCTCCAGGCCTGGCTGTGTCTGGGCTGCATCCAGGCCACCTGGAGGAGGCCTCTGGGACCTGCAGGCGGGCCAGCTCAGAGCCGGCCCCCGAGAGGCGTGAGCAAGGGCCTGTTGGCCAGGAGCTCCTGACCCCAGACCCTAGGCAGGCGTTGTCCCCGGTGGCCCCAGGTGCCTAGGCCTCCCTGCCCGTGGGCATGGCTGCCCCTGCAGACACTCTGGAGCCCAGAGACGCAGGGCAGACCTCCAGCCGGCCAAGTGGCTCTGATAATTAGCATCAATTTTATTGTCGAGAAATCTCAGTATCGTTCCCCCTGTCTTGAGCTGCCTAATCAAAGGAGAGGTCACTGTGGTGGGCAAAAGGGCGTAATTTCGTTAAGTCTAAAACCCCAGTGCGGGGGAGGCGTGGCCTAGCCTGGCCCTGGCCCTGGCCCTCACCCTAGTGGGTGCCCTGGGCCGGCTCTGAGCCCAGCTCAGCAGAGCGGCTCCGGCCGGTGGGTGCTTTCAGCCGTGGCGGTCTCCTTTGTGGGGAGAAGAGCGCAGAGCCTGTGGAGGGTGTTTCTGGGGCTGAGGGGCCAGGTCCGTCCTCTCGGGCTCCTGGGGGCCTCTCATCACAGAGCATTTTGAGTCGCCGCCTCGGACGTGCCGCTTGCAGAGCCCAGTGGGAGGCCGGGGCGGCCTGCGGGCATCTCTGCCCAGCTCCAGCCACGGCCCCCGGGGAGGGCTACCAGCCCGGTTCTGTCCCAAAGAGCCCTTGACCCTCAGTGAGGGCCCTTCCCTGTCCATCCTGCCAGCTCTTGGACACAGGGCTGCCCTCAAACCTGGAATGGATACTGGGGTCCTTGTCTGGCCTCTGCTGGGCCCTGGAGCAGGTGGCTGTGGGCCAGCCCCTCCTACCACCTGGCCCTGTCCCAGCCTCAGCACGGGCACCTGGAGAGGGCACTCCGGCCCTGGAGTGAGACGCTGGGGTCCTGCTGGGTGCCCACCTCAGTGCCAGGCCACAGTGCGGGGCAAAGATGGCAGCCAGGAGCGCCTTCCAGGGCTGGCCTTCCAGGGAGCCTCTCTGGGGTCGGGGACGTGGGGCTGGCTGTGGCCTTCCGGCTTCGGACGCAGGCTGCCCTCGGGAGGCTTGGAGGCAGGCAGGTGGGGTCTGTGTTAACAGGTCACTCAGTGGCTCCTTGGTGGGAGAGTCAGAGGGGAGCCCAGTGCAGTGCGGGGCTTGGCGAGCACCCATGAGCCCATGACGTGGGTAGTGACATTGGAAGGGGGCGGGGGCAACGTGACTCAGGGTGGACCGGAGGCCCCCTCGTGGTCGGGGCCCAAGGTGGGACACTTGGGGACCCAGAGGCCTCCCCTTACAGGAAGCAGACACGGACGACCAGCAGGGGGCGCTGGGCTTCGAGGAGTTCTGCGCCTTCTACAAGGCGATGTCCACCCGCCGGGACCTCTACCTGCTCATGCTGGCCCACAGCGGCCACAAGGACCACCTGGATGCTGCCGACCTGCAGCGCTTCCTGGAAGTGGAGCAGAAGGTGCGGGCTCCCCAGCAGGAGCGGTGGTCCTGGGGGACGTGGCCTCACCTCATTTGGGCATTTGCGTCCGTCCGTGGTGTGGCTGAGGGCTGGGGGAAGGGTGGGCACCAGCCTGGCACTCGAGGTCCCCTTACTGGACCTGCCTTGCTTCCCGTTGTGGCCCCGCCAGCCTGTTCCAGGGTGTGTCCCACAGGAGCCACGAGCAGGTGGGGAAGGTGGGCGGCCCAGCCTGACCGTGGCCCCCTGGAGCTCCCAGAGGGGAGCCCGCGGTCCTGTTTTAGTGTTGAGCATCTCCTGGGACCAGGGTTCCATGGCCCAGCCTTCCCACCAAGTCCTGCCATGGGGGCCCAGGTCACGCCCAGAGCCCTGGGCCCACTCCCCTCAAACGCTTGTCCAGCAGACACACAGAGGGCTCTGGGGCTGGCAGGGTGTCCTGTCTATTTCCCTTGACTCTGAGCTGCTTCCTGGGCTCTGCCTCTCTTGTCCTGGGCCTGGGCAGTGACCAGGTCCTGCCCATTCCGGTGGACGGAGGCTGGCAGTCTGTGGTGGGGGAGGGGAGGCATGCTCAGACCTCAGACAGCATGCGGCCCTACCCCCAGGCTGAGAGGGAGTAACTCCTGGGACCCTCACCGACCCACTTTTGGGTGAGAGTGGAATTTAGGGGCAACCTTCAGGCCCCCCGCTGTCTCTGGGAGCAGACAGCCTCGGGGGACTGCTCAGGGCCCTCCACCGCTCCCTTCGCCTCCACGGCTGCCACTGGGCCCCTGGGCAGGGCTGGGGGCTGGGCACTGGGAGCAGCGGCTGGACGCTGCGGGACCCAGGCTGGTCTGGGTGCTGTCTGTCCGGGACCTGCCCTCACCAGGGCCCCACGAGGCCGCACCAAACCCAGGGCCTGACTCAGGGGCTGTCTCCCCAGAATGTGCTTTCAAGGTCCCTCAGTCTTCTGGGGCTCTGTTCCTGTGGCAGCCCACCTGCCTCCCCCCAGTCGTGCTTGCCCAGGTGGGAGATGCTCAGGGCAACTCGCTCCCAGCCTGGCCACTGGAGTGCGGCTGGGGGCCTCTGTCCCAACAGCTGGTGCACTTAGGGTGGGGAGAAGGAAAAGCGGCTTGGTTTGGGATGGGCAGAACTGACCCACCCGTTGCTCCCCGACCTTCGCCCTAAGCTTTGCAGAACTACCCCCCCAGTCTGCGGCCAAAGCTGTCCACCAGCTGGGTGGCTGGAGCTCTGACCCCTGGACTCTGGACCTCTGGGGGCCACAGCTGCTCCGAGCTCTGGCCTCATTTGCCCTTCCGCCTCCACTGCCCATACCCACCCCCTCATTCCTGATGGCCAGGAGGCCCCTGTTGGTGGGCCTGCCTCCGGGAGCTGGGGGCTCCCGGCCTGGGCTGCACTGCGGGGCACTGGGAGGTCGCTCAGCCTCTGATGTGCAGATGGGCACAGCCGCTGTGGGCTTGGCTGCCACGTGCAGCCTTCTCGCCAGGGACTTGGGCAGGCAGCAGGGGGCCAGGAGAGCCGCCCGGGTTCTTCCAAGGTGGGATGTGGGGCCGGGCTCTCCTGCGCCTTCTCCCACCAGGCCTGCTCCCTGCTGGCCCACCCTGGTCCACGGTTCTCAGGACCCCTCACACAGCGGGGTGGGGGGTGGCCCAGCTGAGGAGGCCACAGACCCCTCCCCTGCCGAGGACCGCAGTGGCGCCAGCTCTTCCAAAGCCATGTGACCCACTGGTAGTCTGCTGGCTCCTGAGTCTCTGGTGACGATGAGGGTGGCCAGTGAGCCCCCAGAGCGGGTAGCACGCTGCAGCGACCAGAGCCTCAGCCTCCTGTGGTCAGCCCCATGCGATACGGTGGTCAGAGAGCAGGCGGAAGGCAGTGGCTGTTCTGGAGCGGGGTGAGGGGCTACCTGGGGCTGGCCAGGGCCAGAGATGGGCCAGCCTGGGCTCAAGCCCCTTCTCTGGCCTAGATGACGGGTGTGACTCTTGAGAGCTGCCGCGACATCATTGAGCAGTTTGAGCCCTGCCCAGAGAACAAGAGGAAGGGGACAATGGGCATTGATGGTGAGTGGGTGCGCGCTGGGCCAGCCTTCCTGCCGGGCCCGCTGGGTGCTGATGGGCGGCCTGTGTGCAAATCCACGTGGCGTGGGGGTGGGGGTCCTGGGATGAGCCCGGCGGTGGGACCGACATACAGGGGCTGAGCCCCTTCGCGTCCTGCTGTGTTCCCTCGGCAGGCTTCACCAACTACACACGGAGCCCCGCCGGCGACATCTTCAACCCAGAGCATCACCACGTGCACCAGGACATGACACGGCCACTGAGCCACTACTTCATCACCTCGTCTCACAACACCTACCTCGTGGGCGACCAGCTCATGTCCCAGTCGAGGGTAGACATGTATGCCTGGGTCCTGCAGGCCGGCTGCCGCTGCGTGGAGGGTGAGTGCTGCGGGCTCTGGGATCCCGCGCCCCCTGTCAGCCCAGGGGGCTGGGCCTGGGCCCTGGGCCGACATCTCCTGTGGGAGGTGGGGCGGCCCTGAAGAGCCCTCTGGAGTCTCTGGGCAGGGGCTGGGATAGGCTTCTCCTGCCGAAACAAGGGGCTGCCTCCCACTAGAGTCCACAGGCTGGGAGTCTCTGGGGGTTGACGGTCAGGCCCCTGGAGCTGACCGAGGTCTGCCTGCCGACAGTGGACTGCTGGGATGGGCCTGATGGGGAGCCCATTGTGCACCACGGCTACACCCTGACCTCCAAGATCCTATTCAAAGATGTCATTGAAACCATCAACAAATATGCCTTCGTCAAGAACGAGTGAGTGGTGGGCCTAGGGGGGCGGGCCCAGGGGGGTGGGGGGAGGGGCGCCAGGGGCTCTTCCCACCCCTCCCCCACGTCCTTTGGGGCAAGCAGTGGCTGTAGTGGCCGAGGGGCTGGTTACTGGGTTTCTTGTTGAGGATGAAGGGCAGGGAAAGGTAGGCGATGGGTGCTGGAGTAACAGCATGACAAGCTGGGGCCATACAGAGTGTGTGTCAGCAGCCCCCATCCACACCCACGTCGGGGCAACCCCTGGGGTCTGATGCCTGCAACATGGTGGCTCTGGCATGAGCTGCCCTTAAGAAGCTACATCCAGACTCAGTTTGCTGTGGCTATAGGCCCCGTGGGACAGAACCCAGTTTCATTTCTGGAAATAGAAGATGGGCTTCCCTCACTGTTAGTTGCCTCCAAGTCTGCTCAGCGAGGCCAAGAATGAAGGAGGGAGGAGAAGCAAGGCTGAATTAAGAAACAGAAACAGAGAGGCCCCTCTAGGAGGATCCGGCCCAGGCTCTGGGAGTGGGAGAGAGCCTGGCCTCTGGAATTGCTGGTGAGGGGGGCATCTCAGGGCAGGGGGCTGGGACCCACAGGTCTCCTGTAGCTGCCGAGGAGCCAGGGGCCTGCTGGGGTCTCAGGGTGGGGCTTGTGCCTTACCTGCCAGCACAATCTTCTCAGGCACAGGGTTCCCCCGGACCTCAGTCCCTTGCCTGAGAAATGGGGAGATGAGCACCTTTGCCCCACGCCCTGCCTCTCTGTATCACGGGGCTCGCCCATCTCTTGCTCTAGTTTATGACTTGTAGGTTGAAGTCACTTACCTTTTCTAAAAGTATCACATTGCTTTTTGGCAAAACCCCAAGTAAATGTACACATGGCTGAAAAAATAACTGAAGAAGTTATCATGAAAATCCCCATGCTGCACTGCACTCCTCATCCTGTACCATGCAGGCAGTAGTGGTGTTCCCCCCAGATTGTGTGTGCCAGGCTATGGGGGGCCAATGTTGGGACCCCAGGGCCATGCACAGGACAGTGTCTCCAGTAACTAGGTGAATGGGATTATCTTTCTCACAGTTGATCCGTTGTTCCACGTTGCGCCTCATTTTAGTTCACATCATTTTTAAACCCTGACTTGCTTGAATGCTTCCTTTAGTTTTTCACGGAGTTTCTATTGCCTTTGTTTTTCTCATTGGGAGGAGTGCACGTCTTCTTCACCCACCCCTAAGATCTCCCAGCTTCCTTCCCACACACTCAGTTGCTTTTGAAAGCCATGACAGCCCCCTCCCAGAGTGGCTGGCAGCCCCTTCTATCTTGGGCTCCTGGTGAAGATCCCTCCTCATTCAGTGGTGCAGGTGGCCTGGGGTCCTACATCGGTGGGGCCTAGCCTTCCCCTGGCCTCACCCTGCTCCTTCCACCTTGGGGCCAGGTACCAGTGATCTTGTCCATTGAGAACCACTGCAGTGTCATCCAGCAGAAGAAGATGGCCCAGTATCTGACCGACATCCTTGGGGACAAGCTGGACTTGTCATCAGTGACCAGTGAGGATGCCACCATGCTACCGTCTCCACAGATGCTCAAGGGCAAGATCCTGGTGAAGGTGAGCCCCTGCCTGCCCCTCCCGGGGCTGAGCCTCTGACCTCTGACTGGGGACCTGGGGTCAGGTCAGGTGCAGGACCTTGCTCCAGCCAGGCTAGGGTTCCACACGACCTGTGGTAGATTTGAGGGATCAGGGCAATCCCTGCCCCTGGCCTATCTTCAGTCTCCCACGGTGACCACTCAGTCTGGGGCCCTCCTCCGCACTCCTGGCGTTTCCCTTCCTGCCATAGGGAGGTGTGGGCTGGCCCTGCCCCGGCCTGAGATCCACAAGGAAGCTTGGCAAAGGCTCCTACCCTTTGCCGCTGCTCCCGCACTTCCTGTAGGGCCCCTCCCATGGCCCACCTCCTCCCCCAGGGCAAGAAGCTGCCCGCCAACATCAGCGAGGATGCTGAGGAGGGCGAGGTGTCTGACGAGGACAGCGCAGATGAGATCGACGATGACTGCAAGCTCCTCGATGGGGATGTGAGTGGGGGCGGGGCCTCCTTGAGGGCAGGGGAGCTGTGGCAAGGCTGGGCGAGGGCCACTGGGCAGATTCTGAGGGTGATTTGCAAGCTGCCAGACTGCTGGGCGTGCACTGGGCCTGGGCCTGGCGCCCCTGCCTGCGTCCCCCACTCTGTCAGGAGCTCCGAGCTGCTGGGCCGGGGCTGGGAACTGCGCTCCGGGCTGTGGAGTCAGCAGCAAAGAGCTGGAGGGGCCCTCTAGTTAGCATCTTCCCTCCTCTGGGCGCTGTAAAGGCATTATTTCTCCCTGAGGGGCCATCGGGTGGGAAAATCGCCGTGCAGGAGCGTTCCCGGCCAGACGGGCTGATTGTTTTAGAAACTGAGGCAGCAGACCCGTCCTGCTCTGGGCGTGCCTGCTCGGTCTCTGCCGGGCCGGAGGCGAGGTAAACCCCTCTCTGTGATGTGCACCTCGCACCCACTCCAGCCTGGGCGTACCCTGGGCCCTGCCTGGAGGAGTCCAGGTTTGTCAAGGCCACACTGGGGGCTGTCTCAGACAGTGAAGGTGCCTGGAGGCTCCCCAGGCCAGCCCCTGGCACCGGCCCACCAGGCGGGCTGCACCCACCCCCATCCATCTCCTCGAGGCACATAGTGGCTGGTGGGGGGGTTCCCAGATCCTGAGCTCCTAAGCAGCTCTCAGAGCCCAGAGTGGCCGCCGGGCGCCGATGAGCGGTCTGCTGGGCCCTATGGGCAGCACTGTGCAGCCCGGGGAGGCAGGTGTCAGGGTGGACAGGCCTGGGCCCAGGGCCTGCTCAGCACCATCTGTGGTCCTGGGGGCAAACCACATCCCGAGAGGCAGATGGCGTGAGGACCAGCAGCGGGACGCAGGTAGGAGTCGGTGGCCAGCGCGGGTGTCAGTCCAGGTGGGATGGCACTGGCCCCGCTCCCAGCAGGCCCCTGCGGCCCTGCCCGAGACCCCAGGGTCTGTCGCCACTGCTGCCCGCATGGCTGAGCACCGAGGCTGAGCCCTGGCTGGCTGGCTTCTGCAGGGCTCCACCAATCGGAAGCGCGTCGAAAACATTGCCAAGAGGAAACTGGATTCCCTACTGAAGGAGTCGAAGATTCGGGACTGTGAGGACCCGAGCGACTTCACCGTGTCCACACTGCCCCAGCCTGGGAAACTCGGGCACAGGGCAGAAGCCAAAAAGGTGAGACCTCTGAGGCCAGCGGGGTCAGCCCGTGGCTGGGCCGGGCCCTGGGGCACACGGCCTGTGCACAGCTACGCCCACACGCATACTGGAACCTGTATGGAACCCGCACACACACACCTGCCCACTGCTGCTCTTTCTGCCCAAGGACCCCCTGAACACCTGGCTGTTCCGACTCTCATCGTGAGGGACCCACAGCCGTCACCGTGTCACAAGGCAGGTGGCCAGGCAGGGGCTGGCCGTCTGTGTGGCTGATGATCTGACCTCTGGAGGCCTGCACCCTCCCCTAGCCGTGGGCAGGAGAGGCGGCCACAGGGTCCTGCCCCTCCTTGCAGAAGAGCCTAGAGCACGGCCTGGGGCCAGAGGCCAGGCCCCACCCACCCGGGAGCCGGGTCAGTCCTGGGCCGCTGTCCTGATGCTCCTGCACGGAGGCCCCCAGGGAAGCTCTGGGAAGGACCCCCATGGAGAGAGTGCTGTGGGGCTGTCATGGCAGGTGTGAAGCATGGGGCGCCTCGGGCTGGGTCAGTGACACTGAGCAGTTGGGGTGCAGCTGGAGGGGGCCCAGCAAACACCGAAGGGCGGTCAGGTTAGCTGAGTGGCCTCAGGGGTGGTGGTGGGTGCTGGTTGGCCCTGCAGACCCCATTTTGCAGGTGAGCAGGGCTGGGGAGTGTTGCCCTGTTCTTGGGGGGCCCGGTGGTACCTCTAGTGCGACCCCCCCATTGTCCAGGTTCTGGGGGGCCTGGGAAGGTGGCTTCTCCCGGGCTGGGTGAGTAGGGTGCTGGGTGCCTCCAGGACAGTATTTTTGGATGTGGGTGTTTGTGTCCCACCCATGGGGGCACAAGGGGTAGCTGGCACCCCCGGAAACGTGCGGGTGGCTGTGTGGTGGGTCCCGCTGGCCCCGTGCCGACGGGCGGTTGGATATTTTCAGTCCCGCGCTGGCTAGGCAGGTGAACGCAGGGCGCCTGTGGCCCTGGCGGGCAGGCGGGCAGCGTGTGCGGCATGGCGCGGCCGGCCGTGGGGGCGACGTGAGGTCTCTGCTTACACCCGGCTCGGGGCGTGGGCGCCCAGGAGGGCAGTCTGGACCCAGGACCTCATGTCTGTGTGGCCTCCTGTGTGCGGGACAACGGGCGCTCAGGGAAGCTACCAGGTGTGGGAGCTGACTGGGCAGCAGGGAACCCCACCCCATCCCTGCCCCCACAGCATCACCAGCCACCCCTCCACCCTGCTCGGACAGGGGCAGAGGGGCAAGGGGGCTGGAGCCACGGGGTTCTCTGAGGGGAGCATCTGGGCAGCAGGTTTGTGGACACGACCCGAGGCCATGGCCCCCCTGTCCCTGGGCCCTAGTGAGGGTCCCTGTGGGAGGGGGCAGGAGGCCCGGGGTGCAGCTGGAGTGGCTATCTGGAGGCAAAGAAGCAATGGACGGGCAAGGGATGGACGCCCGTCTGCAGTGCCGGGCACAACTCCAGGGGACTTTGGTGCTGTCCTAGGAAAAGCCCGCTCCTCTTTGGGGGACCCAGCCCCCAGGTGAGGTCAGGACTAGACCGTCTCAGTCAGAACGCGCCTGCCGGGCCTGGCCCCGCAAGCTGCCCTCTGTCTGAGGTGCAGACACTTCTCGGTGAGCAGAGGTGCCCTGGGCTCTGTGTCCTGGGTGGGAGGGCCCTGCTGCCTCACCCCCTGAGGGGGGCGAGGTGGGGCCCGCCTCCCCTGCCGGCTCGCTATGTGTGGGGCTGACAGCAGATTCCAGCCATGGGCCCAACACTTCCTCAGGATGGTGGTGGTGCCCAGACTGATGGGTGCTCGTGTGCATTGTGACAGCGATGCTTCAGGCCATGGTTAAAGGGCTGAGAAGCATGTCCACCTCTTCCGGTGCCAAACTCACCGTGAACAGGGCCTCCAGCACCTCTGCCAGCAGCGGCGTTCCCCTCTAGGCATGAGGAGGGAAGCTGGGGGCCCCGGGAGAGAGACAGCTCTAAAAGCAGGTGGAAACACACGCATGTGGTCCTGGGTTCAATACCCAGTGCTTCCATTAAGAAAGAATAATCATAGGAGGAGAAAAATAAAAGGAGAGAAAAAGAAGCAGGTGGGACCGGACAGTCCTGAGCACGTCGGTTATGGCACCTGTGCCTCGGGCTCCGGACCAGCGCCTGTTCGTGCAGCACCAAGCCCGAGGGGCACGGCGGGGCAGCCCGGGTCCGAGGTAGGAGCCAGAGAGGCGCCCGTCCTGACCCCGCAGAGGGCAAAGGATGGGAGTGAGCAGCGTGGGCTGAGCTGCTCCTCAGAGCGGGAGTGGACAGGGGTCCGTGGAGTGGTGGGAGCTCAGGGTTGGCAGACGCTGCCAGGCATTGTCTCGAGCCAGGTCCTCCCTTTCCCAGCTTGTGAGCTGAGGAGATGTCCAGGTAATGGGCCCTGTGGCTGCCCCGCCCTCTGCCATCGGGACAGATGCTGACGCCTCTGCTGGGCACAGGGCTGGGGGGAGGTGGGGCTGGCATCCCCAGCCCAAGCTCCAGGCTCTTCTGCCAGGCGACTTGAACCCGAACCTGAGGGGCTCTGCTCCTCTGCTGGGTGGGAGGCCGGCCGGGCGGGGCTGTGGTTAGGGGTGTGCAGGGGCGTCTACGGGGGCGAGTGCAGAAGCTCGCAGAGGTGCGGGTGGAGCGTGTATGCAGATGTGTGTGCCCCTGGCTAATGGAGAACTTTGGCCACAGGTGCCCGGCTCCCGGGAGCCTGAGGGAAGCCAGCTCCCGCCCTGGTGGGCACATCGTGAGCAAAGTTGGGAGAGTTTGGGGGGCATCTGGCGAAGGTGGGGGGGTGGCTAGTGGCAGTGGCAGTGGCCTCGGGGACCCTGGCACAGGCTCCCAGCTGCTCCAGGGGTGTGACGAGCTTCAGGATGGACGAGGGGTTTGTGCCTTGGCCCCAGAGGGGGATAGGCTGCGGTGTTGCCAGGCCCGGGGGCCCCTCGGGCAGGGGCAGGGGTGCCAGGAGGGGAGCCCCTGATGCGCGAGTTCTCTAAACGGCAGCGAGGAAGGCTCAGCCCTGAGACTTCAGGAGATCTGCCGCAGCCCTGAGTGTGAACAGTAAACGGCCACCACTCTGTGGGGAGCAGACCCAAGTTATTTGTCTAATTAGGTAAAGAAGCAGGCCAGGACTCCGGGACTGCAGGGCCCTTGTGTGAGGGTTATATAAGCAGGCAAGCTGAGGAATGTTCCAGATGTACAGACAACATTCATTATGCAGTCACCATGCACGGGAAAAATAGTCAGAACTGGGAACTTAATGAGTTTAAAACAACACATCGCGGGGAGCTGATGTGGGCGCGTGAGCGAGCGTTTCCACTGGTCCTCGCCTTGGCTCTCAGGCCCCTGCTCCCGGCAGCTGCCTGTGCGCACCCAGGGTGGGCTGGAGACGGTGCCACCAGGGCCTGGGGCAGCAGCCAGCCCAGGGCCCGGCTCCCCCTTCCTCCCGCTCTTGGTTCTCCCTCCTCCAGGAAGGCTGCCTGGGGCTGCAGGGAGGAGCTGCCTGGTCTGAGGCTGGGCTCACCCCGTCCCTCTGTCTCCTCTCCTCCCAGGCCGAGGAGGACGTGGAGTCCGGGGACGATGCTGGAACCAGCAGGCGGAACAGTCGGCTTCTTATGGGCAGCTTCTCCAAGCGCAAGGTCTGGGGGCTCCTGGGCGGGGCCCTGCCAGAGCGCAGCATGCATCTTGCCCCCGAGTGCACCAGCTGCCCCTGTACCAGCCAGAGGTGGGGGGGTCTCCTCCAGCCTCGAGGGCCCCTGGGATTCCTGGCTGCATCTCCTGACTGCAGGTGCTAGGTTTGGAGTGCTGGTCAGGGCTGGATGGAGTAAGTGGCCTCACACTGGCCAGTGCCCAGAGCTCAGGTCACCCAGTGCCCAGGCTGCGCAGGGCATGGCAGAGGACGGGGCAGGCAGGCCTGCAAGGTGGGCGCCCGGACCCACGGACGGCAGGCCCACCTCCAGCACCCTCCCGGGCTCTGCTGATGGCCCGGCCAAGCCTGGAGCTCCGCAAATCCTGACTCTGCCCTCGTTCTGCACAGAAAAAGAGCAGCAAGCTAAAGAAGGCAGCCAGCGTGGAGGAGGGGGACGAGGACTTGGACCCCCAAGGCAGCCAGAGCCGAGGGTCAGTGCCCTGCCCCCACCCCGGCCCCTGGACGAAACAGCAGTGGGGGAGGTGCTGTCCTGGCAACAGCAGGAGTCAGCCGCGCAGGCTCGGGGACTGCACAGTGGGGAGGGGGCGTGGGGGCCCGGGGCATGGACCCCGGAGCGCAGGGGCTGGACTGGCCGGTGGGTCCTGTGCTCGTTTCGTAGCCCGTCACGGTCAGTGCCCTTTGGTGGGCTCAGCACCTGCCCCTCCCCACCGTGTCAGCTCTCAGCGTGACCACTGCGTGTCCCGACACCTGGAACACAGGGGCGCAGTGGACGCCTGATGGACATTCAGCATGAATCAGAGCCCGGCCTGCCTGACCCCGTGCCCGCCCTCCCCGCAGGGCTGCCCGGCAGAAGAAGACCATGAAGCTGTCCCGGGCCCTCTCGGACCTGGTGAAG